GCCAAGATTCATTTCTATTCATTTATTAATACTTTCTCATGCGAAGCGAATATTGAATAAGTTAAGATTTATATTTCATACGATTACATTTAGAACTCTAACTTTTATTAATTACAATTTTAATTCCAAATATTAAAATATTGGGATGTAAAGAAAACAATGTGCAAAATGTTAGATTTTGTTTGGGTGGTGTAGGACCCTACATAGTGCATGAGGAAGAAAAAGTTTACCGCCCCCGACGTCTTAAAACAGACAGGTCGGCCTAAATATAGGGCCCAACTTCTGGATAATTGCTTGTCTAGAATGTCAGACTCTCCCACTGGTACACAAGGAGAATCTTATATGAAAATATCCTTGCAATCTGCCTTCCCTTCCGCGAGATTTTCAGCGTACCCCTCAAGCTTTCTATCAGTAGACAGAAAGACCGTACACATTGTCACGCTTACCGTAGGATGGCGGTACCTTATACCTTCCGAAGGGTGTTATCACTATACTGAGACTTCTGTTTAACGATAAAGTATCGAGCCGTTTTTGAAAAAATTAACAGAAGGGTATTCAATACATATGATCGAAGAACAGATGAAATAGACTATTTTATCAGGAACTGTAAATTTTTATGTGTACTATTTGTTTATGTATTTGCAATTGCGTAAGAATTATTTCAAATGATTTGAAGTGTAATCGAAGACAGGGAAAGTTTCAATAACTAGAATATAATAATTTTCCCTTTTCTATGAGAGGTATATTGAAATCAACTCTTGTATGGTTTCTGGGGAGATTAAATATTCCGGGAATCGAATCTGCCTCCGCAAGTATTCTGTAGAGACTGCTTTTTACCGAGTAAGGAGAAAAGAAATTCCCTCTTAAAAATTTTCTGCTGCTCTTAAGGAATTCGAATATCCTTCTTAGGTGAATCGAGCTCATCGGCCATTTATTCCGCGTGGTTCGCCACCCTTCGTCGCGAAACCGCGTACAGGGGATATAACGCGGTTATACCTCGCACCGATCGCTGTGTCTCTCGATTTTATTTTTCTTCCGATTGATGTCGATACTGTAGACCAATCTCGTCCATGGCTTTGTATTCATCCACGAAAACGTGATTCAATAAGTATAAGGTATAATAAGTACAACGAAACCTTCGTGCGTGGAAGTAGAAGCAGACGAGACGGTCGAGTCACGAGAACTTCTTCCTACATAAGGAAGGACTTCTTTTTATTCGCGCATTTTCAAGCTAGTCACGAATATTGCTCAATCTTTTTCTGTACATCACAATTCGAATTAACGATCCGTAATTATTGGAGGACCTTCGTTTCATGCCAAACACATTTCAGTAAAAAAATTTATTACAATGATTCATGGTATAATGATTCCAGTATACGACGATCAATGTTCAACAAGTTAAAAAACGAACATTACCAAATAAAGTATTTTATTGAAGTTGACTAACTTGACATACATTCTTTAATAAGTACGTACCCATAAAAATAGAAAGTTTAATCGACACGCAACTTGTTACTGGACATTCCTATCGAACGAGAGTGAAAGAGACAGTAAAAGAGATAGAAAGCTCTCGTGTGTACAGAGGGGTTCACTTTCATGTGGAAAAAATGATTCGCAATAATCCCGAAGCCAGTGACATGGCAATAACGGTTCCCGTAAGCCACCCTTTGCGTGGCAGGAAGTTCCAAGTGGTTGTCATCGGTTCCTCCATAATTTCCACGTTTCGTCGACTCGCGCGCTACACTGTTCTCTACTCGAAATAATTGGGAGTCACTGATCCAAAGGGCTAAGCCTCAGGGACGACGGTCTGCATTATTATATTGAATTCATGGAAACGGAAAAGTAAGTCGCCGGGAAGGTCGGTGAATGGAAAACGAGAAATCAGAAGGCAGACGGGTGTAAGCTCGGCGTGGCTTTATTAATTATTTTGACGACTCTCTCGCCCACTCGTGTCTGTGCCACTCGCGCCATGTGCGTACCAGAATATGAAATCCTGTATCGATTTTCCTGTTTACCGATAAAGAATCGTATCAAAATGTAGTAAATAAATATAAAAACTGTTCGATTAACTTGTACGTATGAGTCGTTATGTTAATTTCTGTGAAAAAAGGGGTGTCTATCTATTGAGTGGGATCGAATTAAAACCCCAAAGGAACAACGCGAGCAATTGACCTGTCAGCCGTACTATTTGACTGACGTGTGCGTGTCTTTCGAATGATGGATTCCCTCTTTTTTTGACACTCTTCTAACTTCCACTAGGGGTCCCGAGAGAATCTTGTTAGTTACCTAAAAAGTCGTTTACGAAGCAGTCAGTCAAACAGCCACGCGTTTTGCTACATTCATTTATTAGAATGCCGCTGTTTAAATTTGTAAATTACACTGCTCGCTTGTTCCCGTTTGCGAGACTCGAAAACCTCATTAACCGCTGATGGTTTGCTTAGTATGCATCCAAAATCTTCCGGTGCGTTGAGCATTCGATATAAATATGTAGATCCGGCCTGTGTGTCGACACTCGTCGCGTTCTCGTATTAGGGGGAAGGGTGTGCTTCCTTTTTCAAGGGTCGAACGTTTCCGTGTACGTTTTCCACCACTACCGCCAATTCCACAGTCATCATCAGGAGGCCGGCAGCGTTCTCTCTTTTCTCGAGTGCTTTTATAATATTCACCCCCCGTGTACACACGGCCGCGGCTGTGATTTTTCTTGCTGGAACCCCTCTTGAAAATCGTACCGGCGATCGGAGATCGGAGAAAAGCTCCTTTCGATATTGACGCCCAAACCTTTTGTCGCCTTTCTTATCACAGCTTCCCTCTCGCCATGGACCACGAAAAATATCTAAGGTCATATACCCGTGCGCACAAAAATAGCGTTTTGTTATACCTACATAGACGTGTTGTCGATTCACGTGATAAGTCGACATGGTAAAGGGACATCGTGATAAAAGGAATATACGAACAGGCAATTTTCTGGTGCAAATAGAAAGTCATAAGAATGAGTCGCACATAAGTAATAAATAATACTTTTTGTTTGTTCGGTTTTGACAATGCTCGTTTCGTTAGTCGTTACTATAAGCTTAAAAGGAATCATGCGAAAGAATGTTGACTCTTTTTTTGAAGTGCATACTCGAAATTTGGTGGCGGCGGTGGCCGCGAGCGAAATAATTGCGGGTTCTCGCGAGGACGTGCGAACGTTGTTGTAGCTTCGACGAGCCGATGTGCGCCCGCGCACAATTGCAGCTCGGCTACGTCGTCCTGTGGCGCATCGGACGCTTTGAAACATCGTCAGTCCTGCCGAGGATCCTTCTAAGGGTGCTCGTTGTACAGGAGGATCCTCCGAATCCGATTTTGAAAACGGATCACGAATTCATTTCTACTTTCCTTTAACCCCTTATCGTGTAATGTTCTATAGAACTTCTAATTACTATTTATGAGCTTTCTCAAAAATTTGTTCTCGAATTAAGGACTAATTTTTTAATTAGGTGAAAGTTCGTACATCATTTTTATGTTTTAATATGAAAAAAAGTGTTTGGATTTTGTGTAATAAAAACTTGCGCGAGTGAAGAAATACAGTTACATTAATGAAGGAGCAAATAAAATGTTCAAGACGAGCAACTGACAGGATATCGATGGTTTGCCGCGAATTGTTCAATGACTCGGGACGATTGTTGGCACAGTGTAGAAAATGTTAGGATGTCCGGTGCAGCAGGATTCAAGCCATCCGCGGTGCTTCCTAGAAACGACAACGGCGCGAAGCCGAAAAGCAAGATTTCGAAGTTGTCGTCACCCAAGTCTTTGATCCCGCCTTTAGCCGCGAGTTCGCCGAAAAAATCACAAGAACCGAACGCACGCTCACTTTCCTCGAGTCCCGCCAAGTCTCACTCGTCTGTTTCGTCGACGTCCCCGCGTCGAACGTCTCTGAGCGTTGACTCGATGAAAAAGTCAAGAAAATATTCTCAGTACGAGGACCGACAGCAGGCGCTGCATCAAAACTGCGCGAGAACATCCCCGAAACGGTCCCCGAGGAGATACATAACGTCTTACGAAGAAGATTACTCGCAGGACGAAATGGGCCTGAGTCTCCGTATACCTTCGACGGGTGGAGGTGGCGAGTCGGAGATGTCGTTTTTGGAATTCGAGTCGCTTTACACGTTGGAAAAGGAGTTAATGCAATCGCGGCAGGATGTGGGTCAAACGGACGATAAGTGCATTTTTGGCGGTTGGCTTGGCAGGCGCGGGGTTTACACAGAGTTACCGGATCCGTTTTACCAGCAACCCGTCGTTCCGACAGCCGCAGCATCACAGATTCCGATGGAAGGATTCAGCTTCGCACCTGGGTGGTCGTTAAACGTCGAGCATTTTTATCAATGGCAGCATCGGGGGAAGAGTACGCAGCAGGTATTTGAATCCTTTTCACGGTTAACGAGATCCTAGTGGAAGGACATTGCATCAACGTGAATGAGAAGGATTTAGACTTAGACACTAGGTGAAAGTGTGCTCATGTTTCACCGAAGATTGAAATCAACGAAGAATCAATATCTTATACAAGAAATGTCAAAACGATTCTGATCTCCATACATCAAACCCATAATTATTAGCAAAAGAATCAATGAATGTAAATAGTTCAATAGGTCATATAATTGACTGTACACAGTTTCAAACTGCCTACATTTTGGTTGAATATATTTGGCAGGGTGAATTGTAGAATTGGTGTGGTAACTGGATTCTCGAATTTGAAATGAGCTGTCAGTAGCATACGTCGCCGTTTGTCTCTTTGTCGAATCAGAATGTGTATTATACGTCTATGTATGTAGATATAGAGGAGCTAGAGGTTGGGCGCACGAGATCGCGTTTGCTGTGGGTCGCGTTTCGAATTAATTGAAAAACGGAAGCAATTTCACCGAAGCTTTCCGTCAGTCGCGCGCGAATTGCGAACCCGAACGCGTTTAACGCGTATATTGCTTCTCGCTCCCTGTTATCTCCCTCTTCCTCACGCCTACCTGGTTGCGCGTTTAGTTATCCGCGCTTATGCGCATCGCTTTTCGCGTTTCCTCTTCAATTTTGACTCCGCGCGTTATCCGTCTCCCCTGCACTGCCTATTTTTGTTCTCCTCTATCCAGTTTCATCCTCCGTTGTTGTTCCCGGTTATCCTCGTCCGGTTGTTTCTGTCGCTGTTCGTTCCGTTTGCTCTCGCGTTCGCGTTTCGTCCCTCGAGGCGGGTTCGGGCTAGAGCCGATTTTCACGTCCCTCATCGAGCTAATTTCGGAAACCGAGCTGCAAATTTGCGGTACGACGCTATCGAGTTTTACTTCATTCCGACTGTTGCCGCAGGCAGTTTGTACAATGCCATGCGCCGTTACTTCCTGTTCATTTTTGGCCATTTATTGATAAAAGTGATCAGCCTCTTGATCCCTTTGCTTTACACCGTGATTGCGCCTCGTTTCCGAAATGCGGAATCGATAGAAAATTTGCATCAACTTCAGAATTGTTGTTCATTAAATGTATTGATCAAAACGTATATACACGCGAATTAATCTGATTATTTTAATTTCAACGTTAATTAAATGTATAACGGTGCGAGTATACATGAAGTTATTTGAATTCGCCTCTCGTTATACTAATTAACTAAAGTAAATTTAATCGTGGCTCGTTCAGATCGCGGTTAAATATTTGTTGGCAAAATTCTGCGATGCTTTTCTCGTAGCGGTGATTTAATTTCTTCTAAATCTAAACGATTCTTTTTTTGTAAAAGATACTCTGAGATAAGATCCTTGAGAGGAGGGTGGATCGGGGGAGTTATCAAATATACTGCTCGGGGGTGTGAAGGTACTTTGATCAACCCCGAGAAAGAGCCGCGTTTCGCCTCGCGATTCGCTCTCTCACGATGTTTACTTTAAGGGATGCCACCGGCTACCAGCATCTTTCAGTCCGATGGAAGGAGTGCACTCCTCTTACTTATGTATCTTGCAAGCGAATCGTTCTTTATCTTACTCGTATCCACGAACCAACACGAAGCTATTTTCATTACCGACGAGTTTCGCAGCGGGATCGTTAACACGATCAAAGGAAAATTAACTTTGTTTATAAACCCCTCGCAAATCCTGCGTTGCTTTAAAGTAATTAGCGGAATACGTGCGAAACACGTTGTCGAAATCACAGCTTGCATTATCAGGAGTTGAATCGGGAATTCTTTAATAGAATATTAACAGTTTTAGGGTTAATAATTGAAATTGAGAATTCATGATCCAACAAGAAATTATTGTTCTCATATTTACACCATGATATTGACTATCGTTTAATGATTTGGAAAATCGAAAAGTAACAGTGTGATATTTCATGGCGAGAAAAGAAGAATGAAAGGAAGTCGGCGCGCAGAAGGAGGGTAGATACCCTGATCGTGAAGCAATTTTCGTGGGGCTGCAAATTGGCAATTGGACGATAAATGATTTAGGTCGTGCAAGCGCGTACCTACGTACATGTAACCTCGCAGAACGCGGCGGGGGTGAACCTACCCCAAGGCGAGGCACATATCTCTGCCTGTTCGACTACCTTACTGGCAAAATAGATCTCTAATTCAATCGTTGCTCCTCGATGACTCACGATTTCGCCGATTCATACACATCTTCGTTTAACATCTTGAGCAAAGTTTATCATTTGAACCTAGCACACTGTTTCTGACAAGTTTCATAAATATGGAGGTATTTAGAAATCAGTGAGAGCTCTTTTCTCTTTACTTTACACAAAATGTTTCATTTCCTACAGACGACGTAAGAACTCAGCCTGAAAATACAAACAGTTTTAATCCTTGTCTCCTATCATAATCCTAGGAACGGAGCAAGGAACTCGAATTCAGAAAAATAATCAAGCTACGCGCCGGATAATGTTCTCATGGCACAAATAGTTCGTAGAAATTCAAATATCATTTGTTACATATATAGATCGTTCAATCATTAAAAATTGCAACCAAGGAAATACATTTGGCAGAATACATTTCAAGCCCAAAGCCTGTAGAAGACAATCGTAAAATGTAGCATTTTGCCCACGTTCCAACTACCTTTTCGCTGCTGCCCAGTTTTCACTTTGTACCTTTGCGGTCGTTCTTTGAGGGCATTGTGCTTGTATCACTGGAAAAGCGAAGGCACGTGTATATGTATACCTTAAAAGAGTCGTGACGTGTCACGTGATGAGAATACAACGCTCGCTTCGCCTCATACTACGCCCTTCGTTTACGTAGCCACGATGAAGAGGGGACCCTTTCCTCCCTCCTTTAGGGTAAGAAAATGTTCTGTCAGGGCGGTGTGCCACCGTCCACCGTACACTCAGATTCTGACGGAAACGTCTTTACGATTATTACTGTCACAAGTCGAGAAAGACATACATATGATAACTTCGCGAAATTCCTCAACAAGGTTTCTTAGTTATTGTTAGTACAAAGTTGACAAAAAATGCATACTGTAAGAAACATTTTGTATCGATTTCTTTTATTGTCTACTATAAATTAATGCTAGTAGTAGACGACTGTATTTTTTTCCTACACGATCGAGAACAGTTGGGAAGATTTTATAAAAACAAAATATTCGGTTTGATTGCGATAATAGTAGTAAGACACAACCCTTGCTGCAATTAAAGTAAGAATACCTTACAATTAACTGGTACGTGTCGAAGAGCTGAAGGAGGGAATTGTAACGAATCAGACGGCAATCAGAGGAAAGACCGCGTCGTCAATCGACAATTAAAGAGTGACAGGTTCTCTTAGCCGAGTGACGAGTTCGTTTACCCGTACGACGCGTAAGGGAGGATCTATCTCTTCCTCGTCGCGGGCTGCCCTCGGGGTAAAGGGGCGAAGGAGAGTGCCGGTGGTGCTCAGAACTCGGACGCGAGGATTGGTTCCTGTACCCGGCGGGGCGCGTGGCAACCCTCAACAAACGTCGAAGCTCGTTAAAGCTTTTTGGAGTAAGTTAGCAACCGTGTCCCTGCCCGTCTTCCGTACGATACGTGAGACGAAAGAATTATTGCAATTTCGACGGGACGCTTTTGGAATATCTAATGCGATACGGCGGCGCCTTTTTTCCGCGAACCGGTACACGTCTGCCGCGCACGGACGGATCCGAACGGAATAGTAGATTCGTGTAGAATAGTAGGTCCGAGGTATCTAACGACGACTTGACAAGAATTTATATCAATTTTTGGGCTGTTTCAAATCGGGTACTGGTTTGAATAGCTACGCTATACCTGGAACCGTGTATAACTCACTCCGTTCCGAGAACCGGAGACAATCGGGACGGGTAAAAATAGAGAAACAGATTCGACAACTCGTCCCAAGCCAATTTCGTCAGTTCATTCTGATCCTTCGAACCATCTATCCATCTACTTCGCATTGGAAAAGTGGAGGTACGTGGTGGGACGGGTTTAAAATTAGCAACTCGCGGCTGATGGTATTCTAGTCGACCATCGTGTCATATTTGTGCAAATGATCACGCGGGTGCGTACACTTTGCAACCGGGAATCATTCAGCCAAAGGATAGGGAGATAAATAATAGGAACAGGATCTAATAGAGGCGGTGAAAAGGTTACACGTTCCCGCATTGGGAATGTGTAATGGGACATAGGACACCAACCAAGATGAGAAGTCGTCCCACGAGCGAAAGTATTGTCACCGGTCGTTTTCGCGACAAACGTGTACACACGTGCGCTATGCCGCCGTAAAGCAGCTTAAGGATCGTTAAGAAGGTACCGTGTGGGCTAGTTCTCGCGCAGGATGCCCACACGATGCGCACAATATGTATACAATGGCAGGGTAGGGCTCCGTTGCATCGTTGGTTGCAGGCTGCGTCTCAGGTATATTTATTTAACTCGCGCGAGTCGCAATCATGCGTAGGTATATCTCATTCATAAAACATAATCTGTGTGACGTCGCCCCTCAGCCGGAGGAAAAATTGTACAAGTCGTTAGCGTCTGCTCCTGTTTACGGAATTAAGACGATTGAGCAACTTGTTCCCCTCAGCGAGGAATAATGACGAAAATATCGTAATTTGCACTTCAACTTCAATTTGTTCTTCATATTTCATTAGTGTTTCGCAAAGGCAATTACAATTCTGTCTCGATAGTAAATGAACATGGATTCGGATAGAACAGGGGGCTCGCTACTCGCGAAACTTTCTCGCGTAAAAATAACTTGTTCCTTCCGGATTTTCGTAGTCATGACAACGAGTTTCCTCGAATCTCGTGAGGGTACGATACGTTTTGTGCTACACTGCAGGACACGTACACTTCTCTTCCTGAGGGAGGAAGGTGCATCCTCTGTTCGCTCTTGGGGGACGATAACTCGGTTACGAAGGTTCTCAACTCGGGCAAATTTTATTTTTACGAAGTAAGAAGAAATATATCATGACCAACAA